TCATTCCTAGGCATGTTATTCCCTTGACAAAATGATCCAACCAAATGATGGAATAGGTCTATTCCAAGGAATGCTATTCCATTCCTGACCTATTCCATGAACCAAACATGCCATTAGTGTTTTTGGTTAGCTTTAGGGTGTCTTTATCTATGTTTGGTGTTTTCTTGTGGTTTGGCTTGTGAAAGAAGGTTGTGAGGAAGAAGAGCTTCCAAGTAGGGCTTAGGAGGGTTGGAAGGAAGAAGGTTTTGGTCTAAAAAGGTAATCCATGCTATACAAAACCTATTTTCTACTTGCTATTGATGATTCTTGACTTCTATTGATGATTCTTGATGATTGTGAGATTTGATGCATGATCTTGTGATAATGCATGTTTAGAGCTTGTATCTAGGTTTCTTGAAGGTTATTCTTTGATCTATTATTGGGTTCAAGTCATTTCCTTGTTGTATGTGAGTTTGGGATGTTTTGGACTTGAACTTGACCTTGAAGATGAAATTCCCCGAAGGGAATTATTTTGTTGCAGAGGTGTTCCCCGCAGGCGGAACGGCGGGCACTTGTCCACCCGCGGGTGGAAGATTGTACCTGGCGGGAGGTACCACGGGTAGGTACCCACCCGTGGTTCCACCTGCGGGGTACAATCCCGTTGGATTGTCAGGTGTTGTTTTCCCGTGGTTCCAACTTTTGGTATGTGATGTTTTGACCTCCTTTTGTTGGATTGTTGAACTTTTGGGTGTCTTCTTGATGTTTCGTATGTCTAGAACGATGTGCTAAGTATTCATGTTAGGATTTGGTGTCTTGAATCGTGCTTATGGTCCAACTTTGTGATTCGTTGGATTTATGTGAGTCTTTGAGGTTCGTTGGAACCATTTTGGTTTACCCATTCGATGAGCATGCTAGTTATGATGTCATTGAAGCTAGTATGTGTTGTTTGTCCATCTCTTTGAGGATTGACAACTTGTGTTGCCAATCATGTTGATATTAGACTGAAGTCCATTGTTGTTGTTGAGTGTTTCATGTCTATCATTGAAACATCTTGATCGATGTCTATGATTACATCTTGTACATTTGATTGTACCCTTTGTTGATGCTTGATTGGGCTATTGATGTGCCTCAATCCTCTTGATAATGACTATGTGTATCTATGAATGAGATTGGTGGTAATATTATTTGAGCTTTGCTCACGAGATCGGTGGTAATATTGTGTTATTTAATGGTACCCTCGTGTATTGAGAGATCGGTGGTAATACTATGAGATTGGTGGTAAAGATTGGTGGGGGACGACGGTCCCAGGTGGAATAAGGTTGGACTTAGAAGTACAAGGTGGCACTAGGAGGTAATGGTTGGAACTGAAATAAGGTCGGGGGTAGCCATAAGGTTGGAATAGGGCATAAGGTTGGAACGTGAAACTTGTCATTATGTGATTGTTGTGTTTATTGCTTATGAGCATGTCTATCGAGAACTCTACCATTGAGATGGTAGGTTGTGGTCCTTGTTGAGTATGCTGATTGTGATTCTCAATGAGTAAATTGATTGTGGTCCTGGTTGACTTGTGTATTGTGGTTGTTGGTATTTGTTGAGAGTGTGGTGTTGTGTCCCTTGATGTTCCCTTCTCTTGGCTTTCAAATGATATATACTGTATTCCCTTGTCTCAAATGACTTTGCTTATATCTATATGCTATCTTACTTAACGCGTATTGGTGGGTTACCAGCATCTCTCGCTGACGGATGTTATCCCTATGTTTTTCAGGTTATGATTAGCTTGGAGAGCGCGCTAGTGGATCTAGTTAGCGTAGTCTTGCCTTCCCTTTTGATTAGATTGTGGCCTGTGTGCCTTAGACTACTGATATGTTATGATGTTTTTGTTAGACTTAGCTTGTGCACCCGTAGATTTATGGGTGTGGCATAACACTTTCTCGATTAAGAGTTTTGCTTCCGCTCGTTTATGATTAATGTTTAGACTGTTTATCTCTTATTTAAGCTTTTAAATATTGGTTAAATCGGGGGTGTTACAGGCGGGGCCAAGAATTCTGTGAGGGGGGGGGGGGGGGGGGGGGGGAGGGCGGGAAGAAACAGGGACGGGATCTAGGAATTTTTTCTAGTGAAGGCAAAACATTAAAACAAAAGAGATAATTTGAAAAAAAAAAAAAATTACCTAAGAAACATAGGTATAAATATTGTTGGATATGAGCAAAAAATAAAACACATCGAAACTTTATAAAAATATTCATAACAAAATATGAAACATAATTAATTTGATAAAATAATTTGAATAGATTACACATCTAATTATTGATATAAAAGAATGTTATATATATGTAAGTGTGTAAATGTGTTGATGCCAAGAAAAAATAAAGAGACAATTTGAAAAAAATAAATTACCTAAGAAATATAGGTATAAATATTGTTGGATATGACCACAAAATAAAACACATCGAAACTTTATAAAAATATTCATAACAAAATATGAAACATAATTAATTTGATAAAATAATAATTTGAATAG